TTTTTATTCTTTCCAATTCAAATGCAAAGGTTTAAGAAGTATATGTTAGGCAAAGATACCCTTCCTTATTCATTAAAGAATTCATAAATCTGGGCTGTTTCCCCTTATAAACAGTAAAGTTCCCCTCAGTCATCTGGTCAATAATTTCAAACTTCAGAAATCAAACTTCAAAAGTTAAAGATACTACAGATATAAAGGCAAGGCCACCGTTCCGCACACTTCACAGAAGACTTAAAAGCGTTTTCGAAATAGTTACAGTAGAAAGTGAATTTGCTATCCAGGACTATCAGTGAAAGGTGCCAAGCTGGTATTAAAAAGAATCCCAACCTAAACTAAGGTTAGAGAGACCCGAAGGTCCTAGCAATATCATTAAAAAAAAAAAAATCTATGGCAAATTCAATCCATCTTCTTTTCTGTCATCTAAAAGGTAGTTGTATCCTTTCTTTCTCTTAGTCCTCTTTTCCATCTTCCCATTCCAAAAATTAAAACTGACACATATCGGTAGTCTTGCTTTCTCCTCTTCCAGAAAGAAAAATGAAAAAAAACAACAACAAACAAACAAAAAAACAAAGCCTAGTGGTACTTGTTTCATATTTTATGTATCTTGTCTACTATATTTGTTCAACAAATATTTATTGAACATCTCCCATACAGAAGTCATTGTTTTAGGATAGCAGCTCCAAGCACAAAGACTATGCTTTCAATATTGTTGTTCTACATACCATAATAGTGCAAAATAATAACAACAAGGTAATAAAGCAAGAATTTTAAAAAAGAAAAGAAAAAGGAAGAAGTAAAATAAATCCTATTTTAAATATTCTACATTGGGAAATTGAGACTACTTAAACACATCTCTTGTTTTGCTGAGTCTTTTAAGACTTAAGGATAATAAACAAAAAAGACATTATTGAATACACTGACAAAAAGGTATTATATAATTTATTATATAATGCTATATATTACAGGTTAGCATGAATACTTCCAAATATTTCTTTAAATGTAATTATTACATATTATGTTTAGAAAGTACAAAATAATTACATTTAAATATAAAGTTGAAAATGGGGGTGTTGGCTGAGAAGGGCTACAAGGTCAGCTCTGCGTTGCCCATAATTATCCTATTTATTGATCTGAATTCATTTTTTAACATGCATCAAGCTACATGCTTATAATTTACACCCTGTTCTATAGATATACTGTATTTCAATTGAAATTTTATTGTATAAGTCATGTTTCTGTTTGCTTGCATTGCCACAAAAAATGTTGAGACACATTTACTCATGTCTCAGATATGTTCTCTTATTTCAATTCTGTGAAGTCCCTTCAGAAAGAAAGAAAGA